AAAAAAAAAAAAAAAAAAGAAGAAATACAGAGTTGTAATGCATAATCTGGAGAAAAAGCAATCAGTAGAAGTAGGCCCTAGATGATCTATCTACATGTTGGAATTAGCAGACATGAACTTTAGTCCCTCTATTACAAATATTTCAAGGACTTAGTGGTAAAGTAATCATCATGAATAAAGAAATAGGGAATCTCAGCCAAAAAAGAAAAAGAAACTCTAGAAAGGAATCAAATGGAAATTGTAGAATTGAAAAGCACGGTACCTGAAATGAAAAATCTAATGGGCTTAACAACAGATTGGTTCACTGAACTTGAAGATAGATCAGTAAAAATGAACCAATCTAGAACACAGAAAAGACTGGAAGGAAATGAACAAAACCTCAGTGACCTTTAGTACAATATCAGGTAGTCTAACATATGCATGGTTGGTGTCCTGGAAGGACAGTAGAGAAAGAATTGGACAAAAAATATATATATTTGAAGAAATATTGGCCTTAAATCTCCCAAATTTGATGAAATAGTATATTATAGATCTGAGAAGCTCAGTGAACTGCAAGAATGATAAATGCAAAGGAAACCGCACTTAGACATACAGTAGTCAAACCAGAGATAAACTCTTGCAAGCAGAGAAACAGAAGAGAAGATACTTACAGGGGAACAACAGTACAGTTGACAGCCAACTCCTCATAAAAAGCAACTAAAACCAAGGACAGTGGAAAGACGTCTTTAAAATGCTGATGGAACAAAGGTCTCAACCTAACATTCTAGAGAAAATTACCTTCAAAAATGAAAATATCTTTTGAATAAATGAAAGCTGAGAACTCCATTGTGACCAAGTGTGCACTATAGGAAATGCGAAAGGAAATTCTTCAGGCTGAAAGGAAATAATACCAGATGGAAATTTAGATCTACAAGAAGAATAAAGAGCACTGGAAATAGTAAATGTGTGGGAAACATAAGAATGTCTGTTTTTTTCTTTTCTCCATTTCTTTAAAAAGCAACTGTTTGATGCAAAATTTATAATATTTAATTCTAGGAGTTATAACATCTGGATGTGAAATATATTACAGTAACAGCACAAAGGAAGGGGGTGGAGTAAATTATTCCAAGTATCTTATATGTTATATGAAGTGATGCAAGAATAATTTTAAGTAGACTGTGATGAGTTAAGGCTGTATATTACAATATCTAGGACAAAAATTTAGGAAAAAGCAATATAACTAATCCATCCCCTTTCCTCCTCCCAAACAGTAAATAAAATATGAGGAAAGGAAAATCAGAGAAGCAAAAATCAGATGAGACAAATAGAAGACAAATAGCAAAATGATAGCTTAAACCCAGCCATCTTCGAAACCATGATATACTAGGATTTCTTGAAGAGACCATTAAAAGCACTGAGCATTTTTCTCAAATAAATGAACTGACTTCATTGAAAAGAAAGATGTGTTTTCTCCATTCCCCATTGTCATTCCTTTTTCTTTTGTTAATATGATGGGCATAAAATGTATTACTTGGTGGTTGAAATTTTTCAAGAGCTTGTTGGAGTTCGTTGAGTTGTTTGAACCATAAGCTAATGCTTTTCACCAAATTTGGGACTTTTTTTTACTTCTTCAGATTTTTCCACCCCTCTTCTAGGACTTCTCCAATTTATGCTGATAAATTGTCTCATAGGCAGTTCATTTTTCTTCTTTTGTTCTCTTTGGTCTTCAAATTAGATCATTTTTACTTAAGTTTGCAGTATTTTATCATCTCTAATCTGCTCTTTAGCCCATGCGAATTTTTTATTCATCTACTGTACTTTTCAGCTCCAGAATTTCCATTTAGTTCTCTTTGTACTTTCCATTTTTCTTTTGAGAGCCTATATATGTTGAGTTGTTATATTTTTATTGCATTATTTCGACATACTTAGGGTAACTACTTTGAAGTCTTTGCCTGCCAAATTCAGTATCTGGACCCATTCAGAATCAGTTTCATTTGGCTGCTTTCTTTCCTGTGTTTCTTTTATGTGTTATACTTTGCTATTTTTTATGTGTCTTATTTTCTTATTAAAAACTAGACATTTTTAAGATTAGTAGTCCCAACCTTTAGGGTTCGGTTTCATGGAAGACAATTTTTCCATAGACTGGTTGGGGGGTGGTTTTGGGATAAAACTTTTTACCTCACATCATCAGGCATTAGATTCTCATAAGGAGTACACAACCTAGATCCCTTGCATGTGCAGTTCACATTAGGGTTTACACTCTTGAGAGAATCTGTTCCCACCACTGATCTGACAGGGGGTGGAACTCAGGTGATAATGCTTGTTTGCTCACCCACTGCTCCTCCTGCTGGGTGGCCCAGTTCATAACAGGCCACTGACCAGTACCAGTCTGTGGTCCAGGATTTGAGGACCACCGTTGTAGATTATACATTGTAGTGTGTCTGCTTTGATTTGTTCTGAGTGCTTGCCTAGTCTAAAACATCAGCCTCTCTCTCATTTACAGTATGTAACTACCGATCTCTCTGTTGAGATGTTTCCCTCTAACCCTACCTAGCCAGTTGATGTCTCCCCAGGCTTTCAGTTTTTGTCAGACTCTGGGATATTCCACATATATGCCTACTTTAGCAGTCAGGCTTGAATCTGGCAAGTTTATTACCAAGCTTTCATAGCCCTCTTTCTTCCAGATTTCATCCTTAACCAGAATCTGTAACCTCCAGCCAGTAAACTCTTGCATTTTCACTGCCTAAGTTGGGGATCATGGAAACACCCCCAAGTGGAAAGACCGTAAACCCACAATTCTTATCCTATGCAGTTTTTTATGAAGGAACTTATCACTACCGTTGTCTTCCAGTGCCGTGAAGTGGTTGTTTTTAATAATTTGCCAAGTTTTATACACTCATCATTCTTAACACTATTATCAAAAATACAGTCATGATACATTATTTTAGCTGTGTCCTGTGGAGCCAGCATGTAGCTGGACATTCATTTTTATTGTGATGGTAATGGTGTTTTTTTTTAATTTAGAACGGGCACCGTGGCTCAGGCCTGTAATCCCAGCACTTTGAGAGGCTGAGGCAGGCGGATCACCTGAGGTCAAGAGTTTGAGACCAGCCTGGCCAACATGATGAAACCCAGTCTCTACTAAAAATACAAAAATTATCCAGGCATGGTACAGGTACCTGTAATCCCTGCTACTCAGCAGGCTGAGGCAGGAGAATTGCTTGAACCCAGGAGGCAGAGGTTGCAGTGAGCTGAGATCGTGCCATTGCACTCCAGCCTGGGTGAAAAGACCTAAACTCCTTCTCAAAAAATAAAAATGAAATAAAAAAATAAAATTTAGATATAATTCACATACCATAAAATTCACCCTTTTAAGGTATACAATTTATTGGTTTTCAGGATATTCATAGTGTTGCACAATCACCACTAATTCCAAAGCATCTTCACCACCCCAATAAAGAAACCCTAGACCCATTAACAGTCATTCCCAATTCCTTCCTTCTCCCAGCCTCTGAAAACCACTAATATACTTTCCGTCTATATAATTTTGCCTATTCTAGACATTTCATATACATGGAATCATACAGTATGTAGCCTTTTGTGACTAACATCTTTCACTCAGCATAATGTTTTGGAGGTTCATTCATGTTGTAGCATGTATCAGTACTTTATTCTTTTCGTACTGAATCATACTCTGTTTTATAGATAATACCACATTTTGTTTATTCATTCATCAGTTGATGGACATTTAGATTTCTTTTGGTTTTTGACTGTTATGAACAACGCAATTGTGAACATTCATTTACAATGTATATTTTTGTGTGGATGTATGTCTTTAGTTCTCATGGGTATATACATAGGAGTGGAATCAGTGAGTTAATAGGATATTTCTGTTTAATTAGGAGGTAATGACAACTTTAAAACCTGATTGCAGTCATTTAATAGGAAATTTAATGTACTCATATTTATTGTGATTATGATTACTACTTTGTTTTGTGTTTTCTGTTTACTAGGCATTTCTTTTTCTTGGGTTTATTTCTCCCTTCCTTTTTATTGGAGTAGTTGAGCTTCTGTATGTGCCTACACTCTATCTTCTGTGTGTCTCTATTTAGTGAGGAAACTTGACTATCCTATTTTCACTTTTTAAATCCTTAACAAATTTAAACTTAAATGTTTATATTAATGTCTACAGTTGATCCAAGTCTCCATTCAAGCTGGGAAAGAACATTATCATGCTTTCAATCATTCTTTTCTTAGCATCTCCCTAAAGAAGTCATCTGGAATTTTAATACTTATTTATCTTGTTTCTTTTACCTTTTTACATTATGCTTTAATGATTTTACATCCTTGCCTATCAATTTTCTTGATTTCTTTGGCTCAGCACTATCTTTTATATAACACATCTGTCTTTTTCCTAGATTCATTATTATTTTGTGGGAGTACTTCCTCAAGGAATCTTTCAGACGGGCTTTATGGCTGATAAGTTTTCTGGGTACTTGCATATACAAAAATGTATTTGACCCTTATTCTTGAATTATAGTTAGAATACTCCATTGTTTACTAGCCTCCATTGCTCTCATGAGAATTTTGATATCACTCTGATTCTCAATCTTTTGATTCTTCTATCTAGAAACTCTTAGAACTCTGTAGCCTTCAAGTTCTAATGTTTTTCTGCCTAGTATTTAGGTAATTGTCTTTTTTATTCTATCCTGCTTAGTACTTGGCGGATAACTTTGCATTTTCGAAGATTTCTGACTTTATCTCCGGGACATTTTTATCTGTAATTTTCTCCTGAATACTTTTATTCATCAAATGTTGAAACTTCTAAATCCATCCACCATGGTACTTAACTCTTCTATTTTTGTTTCTTTTTGCTGTATTTTTGGAGAGTCCTCAGTAAAATCTTCCATTTTTACTAACTCACATTGCAGCTCGGTCAACACTGTTAACTGTGAAATTAAACCTAATGATATCATGACAGTATATGTGCCTTGGAGCAATGCCCTTTCTCTACATATGCTGTGTTATAATTTCCCCGTAAATAAATAAATATAGCAATTTTAGGGTATGTGCATTCTTTGTGTATTCAACAAATCTAAAGCTAGAAACTCCTTGCAAAATTTAAAAATTCTGTGACTATCATGCCCCCTGTAGATTAGTACCCAAAGACATAGGTCTCTTGAAACCCCGTCTCTACTAAAAATACAAAACATTAGCTGGGCATGGTGGTGCGTGCCTGTAATCCCAGCTACTCAGGAGGTTGAGGCAGGAGAATTGCCTGAACCCAGGAGGCGGAGGTTGCGGTGAGCCAAGATCGTGCCCTTGCACTCCAGCCTGGGTAACAAGAGCGAAACTCCGTCTCAAGAAAAAGACAAACAAACAAAAGACATAGGTCTCTGCCCCCAATTTCTTAAAGTCCTGATTTCCTCAGACGTTATCCTCCTTTGTTGCATGTATGTCTCTCCTTCAGAGTGCTGGTTTTCCTTAACTGTTTGGTGATTTTTTTTTTTTTTTTTTTTTTTTTTTTTTTTGGTGTTTTACTCATCTGTGTGTTTTGCAATCCGTTTACCTACTTGAGTGTTGAATAGCTTACTGCCGATCATTATGAGGGAGGGACAGGACAAGCTGCTGAGGGGCAGGACTGCTGTTGCTTGTCTTCTGGTGTGGGTACTCTCTCCTTCCCTTCTGAGAGTCAGCAGCTACCTGTGACTTTGCATTGCTCGGCAGCCCATTATGCATCCTTGCTGCTTTAGCCTGTGAATATATGCGTCTGTTGACTGCTGCTTAGCACAAACCGGGGAATGGAGAAGGCCTGATTGACCCAGCTGTTCCAGATGCAACTCACCGATTAATCATCCTGATGTGTGTCCCCCCAGCCTTCAGCTGTCTATGTTCACTGGCTCTGGCTTGAAAGTCTTCCTTAACCACTCCTATTTTTGCAGATGTCTTATCATACATCTGGCGTAGACTTCCTTCAGTTACTACCTCCCTGCCCCACCATTCAACCTTCCACCCTCATAAATATAATCTCATCTGACTCTAGGAGATTGCTGATAGGCTTTCCTTATTATCTCATGCATTCATGATTTATATTTGTTAACTGTAAATGTCATTTCCTCAGAAAGTTTTTTTCTAACCACCAAGTTTAAAGTAACGTCTCACTTTCTATCACATCACCCCAGTTTATTTTCATTGTAACATTCATCTCTATTTAATATTTATGGTCTTTTGTCTTTCCAGACCTAAATGCATGCTCCTTTAGGAGCCTTATATGGTCTATTTACAGCTATATCATAAGTGGTTAGAACAGTGCCTGGTGTACAGTAGACATTTCAATATATGATAGTTGAATTAAGTGACTTTATCTTTTAAAAAAAATTATGTATCACATTTGCTTGAATTACTAAATTTTAGATTTTATACCAGAAACCAGGCTTTTCAAATATTCTATCTTAACATCTCTGTTCAAGACAAAACAAAACACACCTTTATTAACCAAATAGTTTTCTTTAAAAAAAAGCTGTGCAATTAATTGGTTAAATAATATAAAATGCAAAGTTTCTTAACCTCCAGCACTTCAGACTATATGTCATTTAAGCAAAGGTTGGGGGTAAAATAAAAGCAAAGCTTTGATTTTTCTAAGAACAACATTATAAAATGACCAGAAATCAGAAGTACGTTTGCTTATAGTTTCTATGACTATATGAGATATAATTTATTCTCAGGTAAATCGTAAATTGAAATGCATCATATTCTTTTGCCATATTATTATGGAGCTCCTTTAGCAAACTCAAATTTCCTTAATGTGAAATTTCCAAAGTCTTAGGTTAAGGATTCACTCTACCAGATAAGATTTTTACTTTTGTTCTCTGCATCTCTTAAATTGTGTAGCTTCAGGTGGCTGATCAACCCATATGGGATAATAATGAACAGTTTTTCAGTTTGGAGGGTTGATCCCTTAATTAAATTTAGGTCAGAAAATTATAAAAATTCACATAGGCGGTCATAGTTACTGCTTGCATAGAAACTCCATGAAAGAAATGTTCATGTCTGGCAAGTTTTGAGTAGGCTTCTTTTGCTGAGTTTGTTATTTTTTCAGTCCCCATATAATTAATATTACAAAATTTTGTAACATTCTTACTTTCTACACAGAGATCAAATTTAGTCCCACATTTTTCCTTGAAAATGTTTCAATATTGTATGGCAAAGTAAAGCAGTAGTCACCTTACAGAAGACAATCAAAATTCATCTGTTCCAGGAAACAAATATATATATATATATATATATATATATAAATACCATTTGTAAGTCTTCTGTGGGTTATTTATACTCCTGCCGTCAAAAAGATGAGCTTAAACCCTACAGAATTAACCTCTCATCTTTATAATTCTGATGGAAATTACTTTAATTTTTTTCTACTTTTTTAATTATTTAGGCAAAGATGCAATCTATACAATTCCAGTAAAAAACATTCTTGCTGTGGAAAAACTGGAAGAGAGCTCTTTCAACAAGAAAAATGTAAGCTATATAAATATTTAAAGCTTTCTGAACTGCATATATTACTTAAATATTTGTATTTCAGGGTATTTGGTAATACCTGTAATTCTGTCACCTATTAGGTATTTGTATTCAAATTTTCAAGAGGTTGTTTATTGGATTAATAGTTCATAAATAGCTCAAACTCTGTCTTAAAATTGTCCTTTATTGTTGATGCCTCATATACCCTTGCCTAGTTTGTTAAGTTACTTTTCTCAAGACTTCCTTGTTATACTGCTCTACGTGATACTCAAGTGTCTAAGTAATACAGTCCCAAGCCCTCTGCACAGCTTTGTCTTCTGTTCCCACTCAGTACATTCCATACACTCAGGCTAACCAGGATGATTTCTTTGTTCCTAAATATTTTTCTACTGCCTTTTCTTTATACCTTTTCTTCTACTGACAATTCCCTCCCTTTATTCATATCTATATGATAGTCCATTCCTTTGGATATGTGTGGCTTCTAAAACAAATTCTTTTGTACTGCTTAGTACCATGTGACTCAGATTATGCTTGGGACTAACTTGCTTGAAACATAATGATTTCCAAGACATCTTAGCAGCAGCTATCTAGCCAAGCAAACCAGATTGCTATTAGGTACTTTCTTCTGTTTTGTACTGTGTGTTGGTTTTTGAACTCTTGTCACTAACTTTTTATCTTAATTGCCTATGAAGATGTTCCAAGTAATACATACGGAGAAACCACTCTATGTCCAGGCGAATAATTGTGTAGAAGCTAATGAATGGATAGACGTACTCTGCAGGGTGAGCCGATGCAATCAAAACAGGCTCAGTTTTTATCATCCCTCTGCATATATAAACGGAAACTGGCTCTGCTGTCAGGAGACCAGTGAAAACACTCTCGGCTGCAAGCCATGTACTGCGTAAGTTTCTTTCTGATTATAAAAGCAATGTTTCAAAATTTGATATTCCATACAATGTTAATATTTGTCCATGAAAAGGAATGAAGTATTGATCCACGCAAGACAAGGATGGGACCTTGAAAAATTATGCCAAGTGAAAGAATTCAAACATAAAGGCCACATATTATCTGATAACATTTATGTAAAGTGTTCAGAATAGGTAAATTCATAGAGACACAAAGTAGATTAGTGGTTACAAGGGACAAGAGGGAGGGAGGAATGGGGAGTGCTAATGGATGCAGAGATTCTTTTAGGAGTGAAGAAGATGTTCTAAAATTAATAGTGGTTGCACAAGTTAAAAAAAAAAAAATTTAAGGCAGTGTTTAAATATAACATGAGCTTGATCCAAGATATCAAGGAAGAAGGACCCTTAGTGTTTTCTTTCTTATTTATGGAACAACCACTGTAGTCCTATAGACCTAAGTAATAATGTATTGCTTTTGTGATGAAGCATAGGTTGTGGAAATAATTTTACTTTAAAATTTCCTTCGTTATGATTAGAGTCACATAATAACCAAACCTCTCCTTGGCCCCACTTTATTTAACCGTCAAATGAAACTAAATTTCCAGACTTCCTTCTGCAAAAGTCTGTGCTTCTGTTTTTAGTCTCAAGCCATCAGAAGTCCTTGGCATGTTAACAAAGTAAAATTCGTCCAATATCTTTATTTTTTATTTTTACCATAGTGGTGTCCCTGCAGACATCCAAATAGATATTGATGAAGACAGAGAAACAGAAAGAATTTATTCCCTTTTTACCCTCAGTTTACTTAAGCTGCAGAAGATGGAAGGTAAATACACAATCTATTTTTATATAACTATAATCTTTCTTTACCAATTCCTAAACATTGCTTTTAGCATTATAGAAAAGTTGAAAATACTCATAGATTTACCAAAATATTATTTATTTGAAAGTTGACAAACCCACAGAAGGGCATTTTTCATTGACATTCATGAAGTAAAAATACTGTTTTTGTATGAATATGATGATCCTACTAAATAAAATGTACATATTTTAGTTATCTCTGCTATTCCAAGGGAAATCCCCTCAGCATAAGACACTTGAAAAATTCCTATTTGTACTACAGATTGCATTTATAGACTATGGTTGTCTGATCAGAGATTTATTTTCCTGCTCCTTGTAGAGGCTTGTGGAACTATAGCAGTCTATCAAGGACCACAGAAGGAGCCTGATGATTATTCTAACTTTGTAATCGAGGATTCTGTAACAACCTTTAAGACAATTCAGCAAATAAAAAGTGTAATTGAGAAGCTGGATGAACCTCATGAAAAATATAGGAAGAAAAGATCCAGTAGTGCAAAATATGGGAGCAAGTGAGTAATTTTTAGGCTATTGTAAACATATTTTTAAGCAGAGTTTGAGATTGCCTGTCCTGCCCTGTCCTCACGCCTCTTGCTCACCCACATCTGTCAAGACCCAGCTCAGGGCCTTTCTCTGATGCAAGTTTCCTTGGCCACTCAACAACTTTGTGTCCAGTGTAGCTGTCATTATTTTATTGTGTTGGTGCTACACTTAATCAACTTTTTTTTTTTTTTTTGAGACGGAGTCTCACTCTGTCGCCCAGGCTGGAGTGCCGTGTCATGATCTCAGCTCACTGCAACCTCCACCTCCCGGGTTCAAGCAATTCTGCCTCAGCCTCCCGAGTAGCTGGGACTACAGGTGCATGCATGCCGCCAAGCCTAGCTAATATTTTGTATTTTAGTAGAGATGGGGTTTTCCTGTGTTGCCGAGGATGGTCGCAAACTCCTGAACTCAGGCAGTCTGCCTACCTCTGCCTCCCAAAGTGCTGGGATTACCGGCATGAGCCACTGTGTCTGGCCTTAATTTTGGCTCGTGTGTGTGTGTGTGTGTGTGTGTGTGTGTGTATGGAGACAGAGAGAGAGAGAGTGTGTGTGTGTGTGTGTGAGTTTTTGTAGAGACAGGGTCTCACCCTGTTGCACAGGCTGGGCTGGAGTGCAGTGCTGTGATGATAACTCAGTGTAACCTCCAACTCCTGGGCTCAAGGGATCCTCCTACCTCAGTGTCTGTAGTAGCTAGGACTACAAGTATGCACCACCATGCCCAGCTATTTGTTTTATTTTTTGTAGAGACAGGGTCTCGCTGTGTTGCCCAGGCTGGTTTCAAATTCCTGACCTCTAGCAATCCTCCTGCCTCAGCCTCCCAAAGCGTTGGGGTTACAGACATGAGCCACCACTTTCAGCCTGTCACCACATTTACTGTTACGTTCAATTGTAATTCATTTGTTGAATACTTAGGTAGCTCTTTGTTTTGTTTTTGTTTTTACTGATTCTCCTACAGTACCTAAGTACTCAAAAAAAAAAAAAAAATGAGCTATGAAAGTGCTAGAAGTATTTTATAGTTGACTTTTTCCTACCACCTCAGGTGTAGATGGATACTACAATGGATAACAACTGCAACAACTCCCATTTGTTGGGTGCTTACTCTACCGAGGGGCACTGTGCTTAGTACTTTACAGCTTATTTAGATTGCTTTTAGCAGCAAGTTTCAAAGTCCCAGTTGAAGTGGCTTAAACAATAAAACATTTTACTCTTGCAAATTAAGTAGTTAACTTCTACAGTTGGTTGATTCAGCAACTCAGCACTGTCATCAAGAGACAGCTGCCACTCAGCCAACCTCAACAAGGTGATTTCTGTCTTCCTTAGGCCTGTTCCCTCATGGTCACAGATGAGCTGCAGTAGTTCAGAGCCCCACATTTTTGTATGATAGTATCCTGAGGCAGAAAAGGCTGTTTTCTCCCTACTTGGAGAAAGGAACCTTATCTAGAGTTACCCTCAGACTTCCCTGAAACGCAAGGCTGCCCAATGTTAGAGCAGAATCAGGATCTGTTTGCAAAGAAGTGGCCAGGGAGTGAGTGGTTCTTAAGCCAGCAAATAACAATGTTTGCCACAGTGAACACTCATTGATCCTCAGATCAGCCCAACTTGGTTTTATCCTCATTTTACAGCTAGAGAAATGGAGGCTTAGGGAAGTTAAATGTCTTCCCCAAGGTCACACAGCTGACCTAGTGAGGGGACTTTGAATCCTGGCCCCACCACCTTAAATATTCTTTGAAAAGTATGTGTATTAATAATTATATTTTTTATTGATGTATAATAGAAGTCAATTTGACAGGTATAAATATTTATTTTCTTCTTAGATAGGTGCCTCAATTAGAAAGGTTTTTATAAGCATCCTAATCCTGTCTTTTCTATGTTGGTGTAATTGACTCTCTTCCAACAGTGATAATCCGGTTTCCTTGGAGCCCTGGGAAGTTTCCATGTGAGATCCCAGACAACCTTAAATAATACTGCTGGCAGGTTTTGGGGTGTAGGGGAGCACTCCGCTCGCCCCCTGGTAGGCTCCAGGCTCTTGGTCTCTCGCTGTCTCAAGAACAGGAGAGGGGACCATGGCGGGTGTGCTCGTAAAGTAAATACCAGACCCAAAAAGTTTTTGTAGAAAAGTGGTTTATTTAGGTAGAGAAAGAGAAAAAGGAGAAGAAGAGAGAAAGCTTCCACCAAGAGTATGTGGAAGGGGACCCAAGTATGGAATCCAAAGGGGCGTGGAAGAAAAGGGACTTATAACCTGGGAGAAATTCCCACCTTCTCCAAGCCCCATGGCCAATGAAAAGAGTTTCTTTAAACTTCCACTGGAGTGGTTGACTTTTGACCCTTTCCCACGCCTGCCAAAATTAGAAGAGAAATTGTCAAATCTCCTGGATATAGAGGCATGGGAGGGGGGCATGGCGCTGGGAAGTTTCTGCCCTTAAAACTACGTCCCCTTGTGGACCTGGAAAGAGAACACATTCTACTCATACCCGTATACCATACCACTTCCCGCTTTATTTTTCTCTGTTAAAAAATATCAACCTCTACTGTACTAAGTATCTTACTCCTTTTATTTACCCTATACCAGAGTGTAAGTTCCATGATGGCAAGGATTTTCTTGATCTGTTTTGTTTACTACTTTATCCTTAACTTCTACACTAGTGTCTAAGATTTAATAGATGGTCAGTAAGTACTCGTTGAATTAATGAAACAAGATTTGGCATGAGAGATTATCAAGGGAAAATACTAAATACTTAATGGATTTGTATTTATATAATAAATTATATATTTGTCACCCTTTAAATTTTTATATTTCTTAAATTTTGAAAAGTGACTTTTTTCTTTTCTAGGGAAAATCCAATTGTTGGGAAAGCATCTTAGAGTTTAACAGATTGGTTCAGAAGAACTGGAAAATATTGTTTTTCTTGGAGCTTCTCAAGTCATCATATATTTCGTTCATACTATTTAAGAATGAAAATTCGCTTCAATGTCATCTGCCTCCACATCATATTTAATATTTAATAATTGAAATTAATTGTTTGGGAATCCTGGTAGTGATGTATAACTAGAGAATTTAAAGCCCAAGATTACCTTCATACCTGTGTGACCCAATCCATGTTTCTGAAACTTATTTTTAATCAAAAGAATCTTCCTAGAAAAGCTTTTTAACAAAGGGAGAACTCCTCCGTAGCAAGAAACCGTCTCTTCTTGTAACACTCTGTTCTGTGGACTTGTTTTCACTACCATCAGTGCCTGCTCTATACTGCCAACATTGTGTTTTACTGGAAAATTTCAGTTCATGACAGTTCAGAGCTTTTCATTTAGTTCATGGTTTTTTTTTTTTTTTTTCTTTTTCTTTAAAAAAGAAATGTTTTTCCTTTGGTCCATCAGTCATTACAGGTTCCAATCAAGGCAGTGATAGAAACTTTAGAAAACTGGCAGAGCATCCTTGAAAGCTGGTAGATCCTTTTGCCTGTTTAAAGATGTAAACAAAACTCAAGACGGGAGGAATCAGGGAATATGTGCTATTGTGTGCATCTTGTTTACATTTGGGATCAATGATGGCAAATGAAGTAATGAGACCACTAAAATTGTTTTTATTGTTTTAAATACCAGGTACTCATTTTCTTGATTTGAAAGTTTAACCTGACTTCTAAGGACATCTCTTCTGAAAAAGAAAGTAAACAGGGAACGAAAGTGGTGGGAAAATCACTTGACTTCACCTGCTATTTCATCTTGTAATAAGGGCCACCATAAGGATGCCCTCCTCATAGTGTTAGGTTCTGGTCTTTCTCGAGAACAGTCACTCGGCGCACTTTAATAATCTGGACTGCTCCAGATTATACTTTAGATACTCTGTGGTATCTAATCTTTATGATCAGTTGAATGATCAGTGTTTAAGTCTAGAAATAATGCTTTCCTGAAAACTGTTTATATTTCATTGCTGTTTCCTTATTGCCTGCTAGCCAAATAGAATTTGGCCAAGCAACTGTTTGAAGACCTTTTTCCCCAGAAATGTCCTTTTGTCCTAAAAACCCTAACTGTAAATAAACAGTCGAAGCAAGTTGCCACCTTGAAGTTGAGGGATACACTTTGCTTCATCAGTATTAAAAACCATGGTACTCTTTATTTTTGTCTTTTTTTATTCAAAATATTTTCTAAATGTGGTACTTTGAACCTTGGAGTATTTACATGTTTCTGTTCAAAACTGTGACTTATTATTGTAAGTCTACTAGTAGTGCTTTTTTTAGTTTCCCTGAGCATAAGCTATATTTCAAGATACACTTTGCCGATTATCTTATTGGTGGGTAATCATTTTTAAATTATATTGTTATTAGGTAATTATTTTTAAAGACTACTGGCATACAATCAAAGTTGTTCCATAAAATATTATAACTGAGCAATGTGTTTCTCTAAATGACTTGTAAAAATCAATGAGTTATGTTTAAGTCTGCATTATGGTAGATTATTACTCCTGGCTCCTTTTAAAGACAAGTTTGAAAGAGTCCTTTAAATTTTATAAGCTTGTAGATTCCATAAACTATACTGATTTATAAATGTGAAAGAATTTAGCCATTTAATAAATTTCTCATTCTTAAATTACATTTAGATTAAAATTCCTTTTAAGAGTCTCTGAAATGTCTACCTGTGAAGAACATGTAAACATCGCCAGGTACCAATCATTATTCTTTAGTGGCTTTTTAGTCCTCTGCTACTTTTTTTTACGGCAAAAGAAATATTCATCTAACATTTCTAATATCAAATTCCCAATTGTGATTGTTTTTAAAGATCATGGCATGATCAGAGAGACCAAGGCTGTGTGCATATGTAACTCTGGATTTGAAAGGGGGAGAGTTCAGTCATCTAGTTCTTTTCTTCACATGACATTTTTAAACAGCCAGTTTAACTGGAATTAACTTGGCACAGCCTAAAAAGAAGTAATGTGAAATTAAATTAATTTTCTTTGAAAGTCTTTCGAAATAAGAGGCCATGTCAGTAGGACCCTAAGATAACCAAGAAATTTGCTTCCAGGGCCCTTATTCCTCTGCCATTACTTAGAAATTTTTTTAATTTTTCATACCTGATATGCTTTCTCTACCTTTTCCACATTTGAAAACTTAGAAGGCAGCTCACTTCATCCTAAAAACCTAAAAACTCCAGGAAGGAAAGAAAAGGATGATATGGGGAAACTTGCCATAAATGCTGGTTCTGGTTCTTAGTATAGCCATTTCCATCAGTTGAAATTGTGGTGTGAACTGTTGCTTGTTTTGTTGTTTTATTTTTGTTTAGCTTTGTTTTTAATATTCATTTAATAAGATGGTGGGCAATAAATAGCAAAGGCTTTTACTCCCAGGAATATAATTTATCAAACTGAACTATTTTATTTGCCAAAGAAACTTGTTTTTAATATCACGGGTAATGGTTAAGTGTCAAAACTATCCTTTTTTTATTAAACAAAAAAAGGTGACAAATGATATGGCTTTTATTTCTGTTTCTGAAGCCTGATTTCATTCATGCCAGGTTTTGAAAAACAGATCTTTTTATTAGTGAAAGCACCTTTAATTTGCTCTAACGGTACATCCTGTAAAGACAGAATTCTGCATAGCCTTTTAGGTGTCCTTACAGTATGTGAAAAATACAAGACTCATTCTAGAGTTAAATTACCAATCTTGGTTGATATTATCTGCTTCCATTTTTATTAATTTGGAAATTAATATGTTGCTAGCAAATATCGGTTTTTACAGTGTCCAATTTGAAAATGTAAGTTATCAAAGCTTAATGTAGTGAATTTGTGTAACCATGTTGTATTGTTGAGAATGTATTTTTATTTAAATTTTATTTTCTTATCAAGAGTATTATAAAAATTAACTTTTGTAACTGTCGCTTGGAAATAACTGAAATAAATTACAAGAAGCCTGTCTGTTCTTTGTGAGACTGTATTTTCTTACTGATTTAGTATTTTCTTCTTGTTTAAAATTATTATACCTTGCCTATGAGTAAGGGAGCAGTGGAAATGAGAAGGCTCCCTTACAATGATGCAATCTGAAAAGTGTTCAGTATTCTTTTCTTGCACTTAAACTAGGCTGATTTTTGATGGGCTGTGTTCTTATATGTTCATTCATTCAACAGACTTGTTTTTAGGACCCACGGTATTCAAAGCACCTTGCAGGCTCCTGTTATTCCCTGGAGCCATGTACATCTGTGGTGGAGGAATATATTCCACTTGTGTCTAGATAAAGTTTTAACCTGAGTTTTCCAGACTATGTTTGACTTTTTTCAAGAAGGGTAGAAAGAATTCTTTCAGAGCCTCTCGTTCCTCAGGCCCTGCACTGACCCCTGAAGATTAACCTACCCTATAGATTGACCTTCAGTGTGTCATCCTTCATTCAAGGTATTAGAATTTGACTGTGTTGTGCCATTTTGGTGAGATACCTGGAGAATATAAAGTGACAGCAACAGAGACCAGGTTAGTGGGCATAATTTGTGCCCTCAACAAGAGAAGCCAGGATCCTCCCTGATTCATGCCTGAACCCTTTTATAATAGCATCCCTAAAAAATCCTTCTATAAAACACAGCCTGAGCTCCAGAGGAATTTAAGGTTAATAAAGAGGAAAGGATAGGGTTTGAATCTCTATGTTTACTGAAACATTAGAATTCCTCTCATACTAGCCCCTAGGCATTTAAGGGAGAGGGGACCATATTTCCTTTTCAAATTGTATGATTCCAAATTGAGAGACACCCAGGGCCAAGCAGAGGCCCTTTATATTACACAACAGTAAGATACAAAACATACTTTGGCACTCCTGATACACATTTTTCTACTCCAGTGGCAAGTACTGAACTCCTCTGAAAACATTTCGGAGAATAACCCGTCTTGGGTACGGACCATATTCGGAGAACTTTGGTCTTAATTCCTCATACATATCTTCACCTGAAGTTAGCTCTTTTGTGGCTAAAAAGTTCATTCCTTGGCTTATCATTTTGCCATTTGACTTCATAGTTTGGGGACACCATTTGCCATCATATTTTGAGCTTATGCCTTTATTTTATATTGACAGCAGAGAAGGTATGACTTGTTTAATTAAAGTACTGTTAAGATAATCAGTTTTCTGCCTTATATTCCAAATCCTTTTTCATACTATCAAGCAAAGCCTTTGTGCTTTTTATTGATCTGCTTTTTGAGATGGAGTTCAGTCTTAGATACATAAGTTTTACTCATCAAGAAAGGATTCTGTTGTCTGGAGCAGATAACATTGTTTTCCAAACATTTTTCTCAACTCCATCCAGAACCAAAAAGACCACACTGCCTGCAGATTAAAGGAGCAACCATTATTTTAATGGCTCCCAATGCACAATGGGGTAAATGATCCCTAAAGAGACACCTCAGAATCCGCATCAGAATGTAGGGTTTTTTTTTGTTTTGTTTTTGGTTTTTGAGACAGTCTCACTCTGTCATCCAGACTGGAGTGCAGTGGCACGATCTCAGCACAGTGCAACCTCTTCCTCCCAGGTTCAAGCAATTCTCCCACCTCAGCCCCCCAAATAGCTGGGATTACAGGCGCCCGCCACCACAGCTGGCTAATTTTTGTATTTTTAGTAGAGACGGGTTTCACCATGTTGGCCAGGCTGGTCTTGAACTCCTGACCTCAGATGATCCGCTCACCTTGGCCTCCCAAAGTGCTGAGATACAGGCATGAGCCACTGCACCCAGCCAGAATGTAGTTTGAAAAGGCACTGTCGGGCCGGGCGCGGTGGCTCAAGCCTGTAATCCCAGCACTGTGGGAGGCCGAGGCGGGTGGATCATGAGGTCAAGAGATCGAGACCATCCTGGTCAACATGGTGAAACCCCGTCTCTA